CACCAGTCTGGGATGGAGTGCCCTCTGGTGTCCATCAAGGGCACTTCCAGGACGTGATTGTAACAGTTAGTAGAATGTCTATTAAAATAAGTGGACTATTAAAATAAAGTTTTACCTGCATTGCATTTTTAATGTATTTTGTGATAAATTAATATAAAGACAAAAAAAAAAAATCTAATAAAAATGGTGTCACTGACCCAGTAGTATGATCAATTGGAGAAAATATGCATTAAAAATAAATAAATAAAAATAAAATCCATAGTTTTACATTCAAATATGCCATTTCAAAATACAGCCCTCCATAGAGAAAAAGCACAATGCACCCTTTTGGAGGTGTGTTCTCATTCTGTTTATCCATGAGGCACACTTCATTCCGTTTGACTGTGACACAACAGGCAGCCGGTACAATAGACCAGAACCAAGCCAAAGTGGGGCTACTTTCCGCTACACCCAATTAGACCTCAAATCCATAGCCTCATTAGCTGCCCCATGCTGGAGGACACCCCCACTCCCCAAAATTGCCTCTGCTCCTAACGAGGCTCTCACACTTTACATTGGGCTTCCAATTACCTCGTGAAATGTGAATGGAGTGCAGGCATGGCAGGTGTGTCTAGGCAGGTGCTTCTGTGTGATGACCCTCAATGATGATGGTGTGTGGATTTCAGGCAGAGCAAAAACCAGGCTGAAATAGAATTGATGAACAAACATGTACACACACACACACACACACACACACACACAATAATAGTACAATTTAAAGATTTTGCATTTTTATTCACAGCTGCTTGCCTCATGCAAAAGAAGACCATCACATGTCTCTCTGATATATTGATTTTGTTTTGATGGCAAGATATGGCTGAGTTTTGATGCTATGTGGTTAGGGTGCTCTACGTGATTTCTAAAGTGTTATGGGTGATTTGAAGAAAGGCTATTACTGATGAAAAATGAGTCCTTCTGTAAAGTAATGACCCCCTTTTCAATATTAAAATTGAAATTTTGATAAGTTAGAAAAGTATAGCACACCCCAATAAGTTTAATAAGCTGCACAATTGGAGGAACCATTCATGCACATGCATGCATGATGAGTTACGTGCAGAAAATATTAAGATAAAAATAATTAGTATGACCAATAGCAATAGTGTTGCTTGTTTTACTAGGCACTGCTATTAATAATGGCAATAAAATCATAATCATAAAACTTTATTGTCTGACCTCCAATAAATTTGTTTTGCAACAGCTCATAGTCACAACCATAAAATACAACTAGGTATTTAATTATGTCCAAAAATCACTAGTGAAAATGTTTATTTATTTCCAATTTATCTTAGTATTTGGTGCCCCTCAAGCTGGTATGGTCTCCTCATGTTTGTGCAAAACCTGATGATTCATGCCATCCCTGCATGATTTTCTAAAGAGCATCTTGTTTGCTTCAATAGAGGACAAGAGACTGACCTTTTGTACAAATTAGATAACATGGGCAATGCCGCAAATATTCTTATTTGCTTAATGAACTAGAAACAGAGAACTAGTGCAGAGTATTATGTTTTTCTTATTCATTTTACATAATTATATTCTTTGTTTTATTTTTGTTTTTAAATCTTAAAACTATTTCTTTATTTTGTTTAAAAATATGCTAATCTCTATACAATGTGTAACATGAAAAGATCAATCTTGGTTTAGGACCAAAAAAATTAAAAATGAACGCAAACAAACAATAGCACATATAGGGATATAAATTATTCAGACACCAGCTATAATTTTTGATATATATATTTTTTTTACTAGTGTCAGGCCTGTGTTCCTGTCTTGTGTTGTGTTTTCCTCCCCCACGTGCTCCATGTTTATTTTATGCCCATGTTTGGTTTCCTTCCTGTTCCTGTCCTGATTGATTATTCAGTTGATCCCAGGTGTGTTTTCCTAATTTCCCCATGTATTTAAGTTTGAGTCTGTGCAGGCTGTCTTGGTCTGGAATTGTACGTCTACTCCTCGTCCAACGTGTGACTTCCTGCCTGTTCCGTGTGTGCTCCTGTATTTGTAAGAATAAAGACTATTGAATGCTAATCCTCTTTGTCTCCGCGCTCCTTCGTCTCCTCGTCTCTGCCACAGTAGGCGAATTGTGACAGAATTCCGGACCGAAACAAAGTAAGCGGCGCCCCTTCTCCTTAAAGTCTTTTGTCTTTTCTCCAAAAAAAAGTATTTTGTCCCCCCCTTAGCAAGATCACCACTAAAACAGCGCTGGACGACACCACGCTCAACTCTCTGTTCTGGATCGGGGCCAACTGCTATCACCCCGTTCATCAGTCAAGTCTGCCGGCCATTCATCAGTCAAGCCCGCCGGCTGCGGCTCACTCAAGCCCGCCGGCCGCTGTATGCACCCGTAACCAGAAGTGGAATCTGAGGAGGAAAAGACTGTTCTCCACCCTCATCCCTGCCCCAGAGCACGCTCCAGTGTCGGCTCCAGTCCCAGAGCTCACTCCAGTGTCGGCTCCAGCCCCAGAGCTCTCTCCAGTGTGGGCTCCAGCCCCCAAGTTTAGCCCACGGAGGGCTCCTGTTCCCGAGTTTAGCCCACGGAGGGCTCCTGTTCCCGAGTCTAGCCCAGAGAGAGAGCTCCAGTCCCCGAGTCTAGCCCAGAGAGGGCTCTAGTCCCCGAGTCTAGCCCAGAGAGGGCTCCAGTCCCCGAGTCTAGCCCAGAGAGGGCTCCAGTTCCCACGTCCAGCCCAAGGAGGGCTCCAGTCCCCAAGTCAAGCCCAGGGAGGGCCACAGTTACCGAGTTAGGCCTACAGAGGGCCTCTGAAACCAACATTCTCCCCAAGGTTTTTTTGGGGGGTGTAGTAGGGCTCCGTCCGTGGAGGCCAGGCCGAGTGCCGAGGTGAACTGTCTGCTCTGCCATGGCCTCTTGGTCTGACTGCTCCGCCATGGCTTCCTGGTCTGCCTGCTCCGTCATGGCTTCCTAGTCTGCCTGATGTGCCATGGCGCCCCAAACTGCCTGATCCGCCATGGGTCCCGGAACAGGTACCGCTCTGTAGGCCTGCTGTCCTGTGTCTGTCATGAGGGGCCTCCAGAGCACCTCCCCGTTGGATGTTGTGAGGTGCGAGGACGCACCTTCCAGGAGGGGGGGAGTAGTGTCAGGCCTGTGTTCCTGTCTTGTGCTGTGTTTTCCTCCCCCACGTGCTCAACGTTTATTTTATGCCCATGTTTGGTTTCCATCCTGTTCCTGTCCTGATTGATTGTTCATTTGATCCCAGGTGTGTTTCCCTATTACCCCATGTATTTAAGTTCGAGTCTGTGCAGTCTGTCTTGGTCTGGAATTGTACGTCTACCCCTCGTCCTATGTGTGAGTTCCTGCCTGTTCTGTGTGTGCTCCAGTATTTGTAAGAATAAAGACTACTGAATGTTAATCCTCTTCGTCTCTGCGCTCCTTTGTATCCTTGTCTCCGCCACAGTAGGCAAATCGTGACAACTAGTGGGTGCAGGACACTAAAGTTAATTTATGTAAGTGAGCAAAATAAAGTAAATTGTGACATATTATACCCGTAAAATCCTTCATACAGTGGACTACCAGTAAAACTGATAAATATTTGGGACCAAAAAATTATTCCGACACTTTGACCTGACCATGTTTTGCTCAAGTGTCTTTTTCTTAACCCTTTCAGTGGTGAGTTTAAAATATTCTAGCGGTTCCCCCAGAGTCAGTTTTTTTATTTATTTTTTTTAATTTTTTTGTTTAATTTTTTTTTTTTTAAGGCTACTGTTATTTTAGAACGTTTCCCCTTACTGTTTCCATGTCGACACATCATGCTTGCCACGTGACACACCGCGGCCACAATAACACTGTATGACAGATGGATCGCTTCTATTTCGTTTTTCCTCTTTTATTTAAAATATTCACAAACTTGCATACCATGTCATGAACAATCTGATATTCCGATTCACAATTATGTGTAAATGAGTGTGTTTTGTCGTTTAAAAACTTTCTAAATGATCTTGATCGTGATCTGTAACGTGAGATGGGCGCCGCCATATTTGTTCTCGCTGCAGTTCAGAGAGTCCTGTCAGTCAGATTTACAGCACGTGAATTCATCAATTTCTCCTGATATACAAGTAATAAGTGGCCGGTGAACTTGGTGAAGAATAGAGTGAATTTTATAGTTACTTACACTATGTGATATGAGTAAAACACATCGGCAAATTAAATTTGAATGGATTGTTATTGTTGCTTCCATAGACATATGTGTGTATTTTACAAACTCTAAATGTATTGTTTTACTAGTACTAATGTGTATTTAAATGTCTGAAACCTAAAATAAACATTATGTGGTTAAAAACACTGCATAGTTGTGATAATATGACAAGCGCAGTGCACGTCTCTCTCTCTGGCTCAGCTAAAGCTCAAAAGCACAGTTTGAATTTGGCAGATATGTGACGTCACCGAACGTTCTAAATCACATATGTGGGAGTGTACTCCCAGGGGCACGGAAATAAAAATCCTATATGTGGGACCCGCTCAAAGGGTTAATTGCTAATTCGACCTTTTTACACCAAAGACTGAACACAATTAAGCATTGCTTGGTAATTGGTTGACCTAAATTGGTATTATCTAATTGTGTACTTCAATTTAACAGCTGACAACTAATTCATAACATACCTTTCTATCAAAGTTATATGACATTATCAAGATGAATTTGTTCTGACACAGTTTAACTCTGAGTTCTTGTCATATTTTATTGCCATTTTTTAAACTATAGCGGATGAACTGTGATAATGGGATAAATGTTGAAGGTGTCTGAATAAATTTTGGTTTGACTGTGTATACCACCAGTTTAAGAGTGTCAGTGCGATGAGTTGAAAAACTTCATTTCCCCTAATCCTTTGCAACAAGAATGGCGAGTTAAAAGTTGTCCTGAGTTTTTTCTTAAAAGTTAATCGCATATAAGAAGCAGGCTAACTAATCATAAATGGTTTTACGAAAGCATATACATTTGGTTTTACATTCAAATATATCAAGCAAGATATGAACTGAAGTATCCCAGAACCTGAAGCTGATGATCTTTGGTTTTAGTGTGATTACGATTGTCCAGCAGTTTTCGCGTCGCTGTCACTGTCAATGAAGTTCCGTGTAGTCACACAGTAAAGAAAAATATCCTTTAAAATGTCTTATAAACCAGTAACACACGTACTTTTTGATATGGACGGGTTATTATTAGGTGGGTGAGAATCATGTTAAAATAAACGAGATTTAATCAACTCAGCGCTTGTGCTTCTGTTTGCATGCAGCAAATTAAGAAAGACACTATTCATTGAGTCTGATTCTGATCATTTCAAAGATCAACGAATTTTAAATTGTATATGTTATACATCTATAACATTTTATAGCCTACACCTAATTTGCAGTTGAGACCCACTCGTAAGCAGTCTTAATTAATCAGTTTCTGTATTAGACGTTATTTATAATTTTTGTCCGTCCAATTAATTTACTCTGTATTACTGCATGTTTTTATTTGTACTCTCTTTCAGATACAGAGAGGTTGTACACTGTCGCATACCAGGAAGTCTGTGACAGGTTCAATAAGCAGTATACCTGGGAAGTGAAGTCCTCTGTGATGGGCAAGAAAGCTCTGGAGGCTGCCAGGATCATAAGAGACAAAATTGATCTCCCCATGACCCCCGAAGAGCTCCTGGAGGAGACCAGACGAATTCAGGAGCAATTATTTCCCACAGCCTCTCTATTGCCAGGTAATGTACTTGCAGGATCAGAACTGGAAGGTGATTTTGAAACAGAAGGTGAAGGCACTCAGTTAAGCATCTAGACCACATGTTTGCCACAAAGTCACTATCTGAATTAAAAAAGCTGGTTGAAGGTCAGGTAAAACGGCTTGCTTATTCATTTAAGTGACCATTTTATGTCTTTTCAGGTGTAGAAAAGCTTGTCAATCATCTACACAAGCATGGGATTCCTATTGCTGTTGGCACAAGCTCAGCAGGTCTAACCTTCGAGATGAAGACCAGCTGTCATAAAGAGTTCTTCAGCCTCTTCAGTCACATTGTACTTGGAGATGATCCTGAAGTAAAGAATGGCAAGCCACATCCTGATATTTTTGTGGTTTGTGCCAAGAGATTCTCTCCCCCAGCCAACACTGGACAGGTAGGAGTGATTCTATTTTATTCTATTCTATTCTATTCTATTCATGTTCTTCCATGCAGCGGTGCATTTCCCAATAGCATTGTTAGCCAACTATGGATGCAAGTTCCGTCGTAGTTCAAAATTAACATTTGCAAACAGCATCGCAAAGTTGTTTGGTTGGAACGACAGCTCTTGACCTGTGGTTAGAAGTAGGGATGCACGATATTGGATTTTTGCCGATATCCGATATGCCGATATTTTTCAACTCATTTTGACCGATACCGATATATTCCCTTTTGTTTGGAAACAACACCAAGTCTCTCCTGTGCAGAAATTATAAGCAAAATATTTGTAATTTTGGTAAGTTTTTAACAATAACTTATTTGTTAGAATTAAATAAACAATAATGAAGGTTGTTTGACAGTACATTGAAGCTTTGAAAATAACTATAAATAAACTATATATCAATCGCTGCATTTTTTCCCCCCAGAAAGATGCAGTGTTAACCCTAACATTTTATTTTAAGATTTAACATTTAACATTTGTAGATGGTCTAAAGCAAAAGAGTTGTAAAAATTCTGAAAATCTTTTAGAGCTTATGATTTGTTTTAAAAATAAAACATATTACACATTAATCAATATATATAAAATTATTTAATTTACAAGTGTCATGTTTGTGAGTTACTTTCATTTAATTAGAAGTAGGCCAACAGCGCCCCCTACAGATTAAAACTCCTTACCGAACGGACGTTAGCACCCGGGGGAGGCTGCTGCTAGGGATGGGCGATACCCCTTATTTTGTTTTCCATACGATACCGATATTTTTCAAGGCAGTATCAAAATCGCACATCATTAAAACAACAATTACGATATTATCACAGACGATATATATCGCACACCCCTACTGTTTACTCAATCACACACAGAACGCATCATCCTGTACATGCATTCTCAGTTTAAATGCAGCGATCGAAAACAGTGAATCTAATCATCATTCAGACAAAACTTTGCTTCAAAAATTAGTCACACTGCTGACATGATCTAATCGCTAGCACACCCTGAGCACATGTGAGTTAATGTATTCCTCTTATCGGCAAGACATATCGGCATAATTTTTCATATCAGGCCGATGCCGATATTTACATTTAAAGCCATTATCGGCCGATTCCGATATCAGTCCGATAATATCGTGCATCCCTAGTTAGAAGCATAGTTTCTTGTTTGTATGACATGAGGACTTTATAAATCCTTGAGCAAAATAAGCAAGCTGACAATCTGTATCTTTCATTTCTAATACATAGTCCTACAAATTTCATTTACGTCTTTTAGTTTAAGAGATTTAAAGCACCGTTTTTGAAGAGTGCGCATGTGTGTACATGCTCTAGTATGTAAGAAAGAGACAATACTTAAGTCTGGAAATAAAGCAGAATAACTGAGGGAAAAAAGAGAATTAGCCCTCAGATGCCATGTCTGTAATTTATAGCAAAACATCTGCCATTAATTCAGTCTTAAATGGATTCATTAAAAGTAGTGGTCGACTGATATTGGTTTTTTGAAAGCCGATGCCGATATCTTGGAAAGCAAGGTTGCCAATGGCCGATATAATGTTACTTATTTTAATTAATATTTAATAAATTAGAAATTTGAAAATGTATTTAAAAATAAATGTGTAAAATAAATATACTTATACTTTAGATGACAAAGTATTTTTTACAAATACATAAATATTTAATAAAAATATAATTAAAAAGGAAGTAAACACTGTAACCAACAGGGCACTCAGTATTCTGGGAAATTTGTGTGCATTGGGAATAATATTTTTTCAAATAAAGCTGTCAAGTTTATGGTCGGTTTTTGTTTTGTTTTCCCTGTGTTCCTGCCTCCTGTTTCTTTATGCCCTTATTTGGTCCTTCCGGTTCCTGTCCCCATTTAGTTCTATTTGTCCCAGGTGTTCCTTGTTATTAGTTATCCTCCTCACCTGTCTGCCCCTCGTTATCTGCCCTATTTGAGTTCTAGCCTATTCTGTTCTCCGTTGTCCGGAATTGTATATGTCTACCCTTGCTTCGTGTGTTTTCCTGGTTCCCTGGATATGATTAAAGTCTATATGTTTGAATTCGACTCTGCGTCTCCTCGTTCCTCGCTCCGTGCTCCTCACAATAGAATCGTAGTGATGGGCAAATGAAGCCTCACGAAGCACTGATGCTTTCCTTTCCTCTGACTGTTTCGGGAAAAGATTCAAAGCTTCGCGAGTGTCAAAAATAGCACCATCTGGTGGACAATAAAAAATATAGCAGACAAAAGCCTGTGAAAATAGTGTGTGTGTGTGTGTGTGTGTGTGTGTGTGTGTGTGTGTGTGTTTGTTAAAACTCTCTCTCTGATAAAATAATTTACCCATTCAACTGTGGCATTAAATGCCAATATGAATATCAATATGATGTAATAGAAGAATAATGTACACATATGAATTGCATATGCCAAATATTTTTTTTTCTGAACTTTTTTCTGAGTTTTTATTCTTCATATTACTTGTATGGCTGGGTATTTAAAAATGTACTTGAATAAGTCTGAATGAAAACTTACTCGTAAAGTAAGATCTGGGGTTTTGAACATTCCGACACGCGCACTTGATTGGACCATAGACTGTATAAAAACATGGACGTAGTGTCCGTGACGTCACCCGTAGATTTCCGAAGAGCGTTTTTGAAGCTCAAAAGTGGGCGGAGGCGGCCGTCACCACCTTGGCAGCGTGTCACCGCGCGTCACTCCCGGATAATCGAAAATGGGCAAAGAGGTGGGAGCAGGATGCTGAAGCCACGCCCACCTAGCTCGACGGTGGTGACAACAGGCAATCCACCTGTCACTCAGGTGGCCACGCCCTTAATTATGCAGAACCTTAAGGCTTAATATAATTTAAACGGATGAGTTATAAAAAAATTCACCCCCCTCACAGTTGTCATGAAGGGCAAAATTAGCTATATAGACCAAAATAATTTTTTGAACCAGGCTTTCTGCTGTAAAGTTGGCCATTTTAACATGGGGAGTCTATGGGATTGACTCCCTTTTGCAGCCAGCCTCTAGCGGCCAGTTGATGAATTACAGTTTAAGTCACTTCCTTGTTGGCTTCTCGAGAGAGAGCGGGAGGTTGCCGTTTGGATTGGACAGATAGTGAGGCTTCATTTTCTGCTGATCACGTGATTTTCTGAAAACAATACGTGCTCACAGAGCTTCGTGAGAAATTGCTCTGCTTACCAGATACGCGCTTTGAAGCTTCAGTGTCATATGTAACATCACTAGCGAACCGTGACAAAAGCCAAGGTAACAGTCATTTTACATACAGCACACAGTGAAAATGACATGAATATGGCAGTGGGCAAATGGATAAAGCGCAGCATAGTTTGAAATCACGAGTTTAAAGTTTGTCGATCACACATCTCCAGTGAGGTTAAACTCTCCTCCTGTCCGTATTCAATTCGTATGGACCGATCATCACACAGAGAGCACGCGATCATGCAGGATACAAATGCACACTTTACAAAATCTCCCAGCTGGATCCGTCTAAGTTTGCAAGGTTTGTGAAATTTGAATGTTCATTAGTCATTCAAAGATTTGTTTAAATGATATAAATGCGTAACTTTTATTTGCTGAATGCTGATGGCATGAGAAAGTATTATAATATTTGCCTTTCTATTACTAATAATATAAAAGCAATCATTATAATACTTTTTTTGTATACATTGTAATTCCTTTGTTTAATACAGTCATGGCCAAAAGTTTTGGCAGTGACATAAATTTTGTTTAGCAAAGTTTGCTGCTTAAGCTGTTGCGGTGTTCATTCACATTGTTTCTAGATTATTGTGTAGAGTGATCAGATGCATTTTAAATAATTGCTAAAAGCTTCATCAGTCAAAAAAAATGAACTTTTCACAAAAAAAACAAAAACAAATTTCACTGTTTTTTGATCCTAACACAAAATGACCAGCTGACATTAATTGACTAATCATATCAGCAGCACATGTGGAAAGTGTGAATGAGTACTAGTCAGGTGAAATCACTATCATACTAAATAGACTGTAAGAGCAGACTGATTGCTATAAAAGGAGGGAAGAAGTGCTTCCAATCATTGTGCTCTTGTTAGCAATGGTTACATCCAAAGAAGCACGTGCAGCAATCATCGCTTTGCATCAAAATGGCCTCACATGCAAAGAAATTGCTACAAAGAATATTGCACCTGAAAGAACCATTTATTGGATCATCAAGAACTTCAAGGAGAGAGGTTCGACTGCAGTGAAGAAGTCTTAAGGAAGTACCAGAGTGTCCAGCATGCGCCAGGACCGTCTCCTCCTGAGGAGTCAGCTACAGAATCGTGTCACCAACAGTGCAGAGCTTGCTCAGGAATGGCAGCAGGTTGGTGTGAGAGCATCTGCACGCACAGTGAGGCCAAGACTTTTGGACAACGGCCTGGTGTCAAGAAGGGCAGCAAAGAAGCCACTTCTGTCCAAGAAAAACGGCAAGGACAGACTGAAATTCTGCAGGAAGTACAAGGATTGGACAGCAGAAGACTGGTGCAAAGTTATTCTCTCTGATGAAGCTCTCTTCCGACTGTTTGGGACATCTGGAAAATC